AAAATAATTTAGTCACTCCTTTTTATTAGGCAAGGGATTCCATACTGTGTTTACTAAGGAAAATTCAGCCAGAGTTTTTCCTGTTTCTGGTGCTGCCTCACAGCCTAATCTCTGGTAGCCAAGAGTATGTGACTCACATACTCTCTTTTCTGCATAACTGGATCAGCCTTACCAAGGAAAAAAGGAGGTTAGGAATTGGCAGCCTTACTCTTTCAAAAGTATCTCCCAGATAATGGAACCTGTTAGAACTCATGTGCTTCCTTCAGTTTTATAGGTAGTTGGGATGAAATTACTCTGTTGTAGTTAAAAATGAAAATATTTATCTTCCTCCCCTAGTGAAGTTATTTTCACAGATCTAAAATGTTTCATAAGCATTCAACCTCACTTTTCAGTGCCAAGCTGCAACTTAGTGTGAACAGGCCTGGGTGTTTTGCTGCTATCAGCAGCTTTTTATTTTGATCCAATCTTTTTTTATCTCATATCACTACAGGTTGCAAAACTCCCACAAGTGGTCCAGCAACAGGCTACTGTTGCCAACATTCAGCAGATGGTTTCAGTTTCCCAACAGGTAGGTTTTGCTCTTTCAAATATAGCACTAGAAACATGATCTTTAGATCTTTACAAAAGCTTATTTTTTTTGGAATGTGTGTGTTTTTCACCTTATGTGTGGCATAGGTAGTATTTTTGAAGGATATAGCAAGTGCCTTTCTATAAAAATAAATCTTGAATACTGAATCAGCTGAGGTTTATTCTTTGGTCTAAAACTTTCATAGATGTAGCAATGTTTATTCATCACTGTAGATAAACTGAAAAACAGATTTTTAAAAGTGTTTTCTAGAGCTGAAAAGATGTTTAAAAATTGGTTTCTGGTAAGGTATAGTCAATATAGCAAATAATTGAACTAATGAGCACCATCTGAGCTTTTTCCACAAAAATTAGGACAAATTGAAGGTTACAGGTTGTTTTGTTTCAGCTCACAGAGCTGTGCCAAGTGCTCTGTAGAAGGCAGAATGATGTGATGGCTGTTCCAAATGTGTGCTGGTAACTGACAGGGCTTGGGCAGGAGAAGCTCAGGTGGTTTGGTTCCCCTCCCCTAAGGACCAGGCAGTTTAATTATCACTGTTCAGAACAATGTCATCCAGATCATTAGCAACAGGCCTAACTTAGGCAGTTGATTGGCAGGAATGATTTAGCTTTGGAGGGTGGATGGAGTTCTTGCCTTTGGTGCACAAAAATCTGGGCCAGTCAGCTCTTAGTCTGCTACAGTTCACAGTGCAGTGTTTCAGTGCATAATAAAATCTGTGACTGTTTATCTCCAAATGGTGATAAAATGGTGTGAGCTGTCTGATAACCACCTCAGATGTGAATGCTTCAAGGGCAAAGTGGACAGCAGGAGGTAGAAACCTCATCAGTCAACACAACTTGAGTTGCCCTCTGTAGTCAGGAAGAGCTCCTAAATCATTTTCAAAAGTCATCAATGGTGGCATAACTGTGACTTGGAGTCTGTGGCAAAAAGAGAAATAATTTCCCTCCCATGTACGCCAGTGACTTCAGTGGCAGTAGGCTTAGGCCATGGTAAGTATTTTTTAAACTATGGTCTTTATGTGTATGTGGCATTCTTTTTATCTGCATTTTTAGTGCTTCCCACTGAAATCCTTTTGGATCATTCAAGAGTTAATTTTTCCTCTGCAGAAGTCCTTGTAGCTTTGTTTGGCTTCTGCACCTGACAAAGGCAGCTGAAGCTGCTCAGTTTTCATTACCTTGTCCTCTGAACAAGGAGATGTTGATTTTTTTTTTTTGCTCCCTTGGTTTGGGTAGAGCTATGAAAATTAGATCTCTGGATGGAGTTCAAACTATTCTGCCATAAATTGGCAATAGAGACTGGCAGCTGTAGTGTGAAAGGGAAATGGCAGAGACTGCTGGGCAGCCTCACTGACTGTATTTATTGTCACAATATGAGTGCAGAGTCAGCATTTGAACCTCTTTGGTCCTCTGGCTGTCCCTCTGTTCTTTTCCTTGCTCCTTCACTTCTGCAGTACAGGAATTTTCCTATATATCTGGTAAGGTTTTTGTACCTTTCATCTGCCTTCTGAATGTATCTGAGGGCATGTCCTTGGATTTGCACTGCAGAGACCAGAGTTACAGGCACTTTGGCTCCTAGTTCTGATTTATAAGGCTCTAGAAAATGTGACAGAATGGTGTTTGTCAGTGAAACCACAGAGCCTCTGTTCCCAGGATCATTGTCTGAGATGTCAGCTAAGAGAGCAAATACCCAAGGAAGCAGGATTTGTTCTGTAGAGCAGAAATGTAAGGACTGCTCAGTTTAATGCTGAACCATTGTGTAATTGCCTTTTCCTCCTGCTGTGCAGGTACAAGCTCAGCCCCAAACCGTGACCCTTTCTCAGACGACAGCAGGACAACAGCAGGTTCAGGTGATCCCTGCAACCACTGCCACTGCTCAGGTGGTGCAGCAGAAGCTGATCCAGCAGCAGGTTGTGACCACAGCCTCTCCCCAGGTTCAGGCTCCAGGTGTACAGAACCCAGCCCAGACACCAGCAACACCTGAAGCCCAGAGTCAGCAAGCAAAAGTACAGATGAGGACACCGACTGTCAGATTAAAGGCACCTACTAAACCAAGCTGAACTCTTGCAATAACAGAGAAACACAGGATTTTGTGTTTGCTGAGACAAGTGAGAAGCTACTCCAAACATCCAAATGAAGATAAAACACCTCTATTTTTTTTTTTTGTAGCAGAAGGTTTCTTGCTGGTGAACATTTAAACATGAAAACTCACATGTAACTTCAGTGTATTAGCAACTGTTTAGCACTCAAACTCTGTACAAGATGCATTCTGCCTCTGTGTTCTCTGTGCTCATTTAAACCACATAAAGCAAGCATTACTTAGGTTGAAATTCTGCCCAGCTTCTCAAAAGTGAAATGGTGATCTGCCATAAATGTCAATAAAATACATCTGTGTTAAACACCTGCCTGTGGGCATGTGCAGCTCCTTGCTGTAGCTCAGTACCCACAGTGAAGCCACACAAAAACCAGGTGTAGTTGATACAGCACAGTATTTTCCATCTGTACAAAAGCTCTGTGTTGTTCTTCCCTGTGGTAAACACCCCTGGAAGATCTAACACAGGCTTGAAGTGCTCCCTGCAAAGTTTAGCCAATAAATGTGAAAACCTGTAAGTATATGTAATTAAAAAGGAACAAAAAAAAAGGTTTCATTCTCCATTTTTGTAAGTCTTTTAAAATGTTTGTTAGTAGTTTTTGTGTACAGTTTACTGAATCACCCAACCTGTGTGCTCATTCTCGTATTTCACTTTAAAATAATGGATATTTTAGGCATGAGCTGAGTAAATACTGTGTTGATAGTAAATGTGTATTAAAGTGTAGCCCATTTTCTTTTTTTGTAAAAGAATTGTTCAGTAGATGCAGCTAAACAGATGATCCATAGCTGTTTCTCATGGGACTTCTGTCACAAAACTCCAGCTGATAAAATCTAATCTCTCAGTTTCATTCTGCTCTTGCAACATGTTTAAATGTTCAGTACTTTTTACACGGCTTTCAGCTTAGGGGGTGGGGAGGGCTGGGGGAAGGGGAGAATAGTGAAATTAAATCTAAGACTTAATTCTTCAACGGTGTAAAGAGTAAGATCTAACTTTTGTACTATTCTTTTACTAAAGCTAACAATGAATGTATCTTCAGGTGGGTATTTTGGATGTGAATAGAGCGTGGCCTCTTCCTCCAAATCAGTTTGCCTTATTGTTATGGAGAAAAAAAAAAAGCAAAAAGCTGCATAGAACTGTGGGGGGTTTCTTTAATTTTCTTGCATACAGTGAATAACAGACTTTGCAAACAGCACTGAGTGAGGAATCAAAAAGCCCATGGTGGCTTGAAGGGATTTATTTTACTTTGGCCATAAAACTGCACAATGTGTAAAATCCAGACAAAATTGCAACATTCCTTTTCTGAGATGGTTTTAAAATTATTTTTTCATTCTGTGATCTTTTTACTCTTTTAGGAAAGGAGCCTATTTGATGGCAAGGAAAGCATATATTTTGTTTTTACCTCTGTATGTCCACACTTGTTGGTACCTGGTAATCCACATGGCTTAAACAAGAAAGAATTCTCAGCCAGCTCCTCTGTGTTAGTTGGGATAGGTACAGCCAATTCTGTTCAGATCACAAATGTAACATTGGCTCAGGCAGCGTTCCTGATTTTTTTATTTTATACCTCTTTTGTCCTGCATACTTTTTTCCTTGGACCCTCAGGTGTACAAATACAAGGGCATTTTGGGTTTTTTTTAAGCTGTTTTTGCATGCAGTAGTATTCCCCTGACCCTGCTAACCCCTGGCTTGTGCCATCCCCTAAACTTCCCTGCCAGCCAGGGAGCTGGCACTGCTGACAGCAGAGTAGTTTGAAATGCAAAGCAGATGCAGTGGTGATGGATAGTGACACTGTGTACAGTATAGCCTTGCTCATCCAGAAATATTGCGCAGGTAGCCCCAGTTTTACTTTTAAGTGTTTAGCTTTTATGATGTGCATGAAGGTCGGGGTGGGGGGGAACAGTTCCAGCAGTGGGAGAGCTGTTGGCTACGTCGTTGTGCTGGTCTGATTTGGTGTCTAAAGAGGCGATTGTTTCTTGTTTAGGTCAGTTGATGAAGATAAAAAGTCACCATTACTTTTTTTTCCTTCTAATTATTTTTTTCTTCCTTTCGGTGTGTCTTTCTCCCAGGAGTGTGTTAGGAAGTCAACCTGTACATAAGTGATGAACATTTGTACTCGCCCCAGTAGGATGATAAGGAATAGTGCTGTATCCTACCTGAAGGTGTAATAAAGTGTACATTTTTATACCGCCGCCTCGCCCTGCCTTCTGTACCGGGAGCGGCGGTGTGGGTGGGGGTACGGACCGATCCCGATCCCCATCCCGATCCCGTCCCGACCCCGATCCCCGCCCCGCTGCCGGCCCCGCCTGCGGGCGGAGCGGCCGCGGCTCCTCCTCCCTCCTCCGCTGCGAGCATGGCGCGGGAGGCCGCGCTCGCCGCCTGCCTGGAGGCCGTGCTGGGCAGCCGCTCCAGCGCCAACCGCGTCTTCGAGCTCCTGGAGCCGCTGGCGGTGCGGGCCGGGCCGGGCCGGGGGAGCGGGCTGAGGGAGGGAGGGAGGGCAGCGTGGCCGGGCCGGGCTATGCCGGGCCAGGGGAGCGGGCTGAGGGAGGCAGGGCAGCGTGGCCGGGCCGGGCCGGGCTATGCCGGGCCAGGGAGCGGGCTGCCGGGCCGCCGCTCTAACACGCTGTTCCCCAGGGCCAGGAGGAGCCGGAGGACATCGTGAGCGCCGCCAGGATCTGCGGCCGGCTCTTCGGGGCGCTGCTGGAGCGAGGGGAGCTGTTCGTGGGGCCGCTGCCCGAGCAGGACGCCTCTCTGGGCGGTGAGCACGGAGCGGGGCCCGACCCGAGCCCAGCCTGTGTCTGTGTGTCTGTCTGTCCCTCACAGAGAGCTACAGCCCAGCCTGTGTCTGTGTCTGTCTGTCCCTCACAGAGAGCTACAGCCCAGCCTGTGTCTGTGTGTCTGTCTGTCCCTCACAGAGAACTACAGCGCCCAGGACAAGTACAGGATATGGATGCGGCACCGCTACAGGGACTGCGTGGGCTGCCTGGGAGAGCTCATGGGGCACGAAGCCTTCCAGGTCAAGGTGGGTCCTGAGCCCGGTGCTGACCCACGGGGGGTTCGCGGGGGTCCCTTGAGGCTCTCACCAAGCATTTCACTGTGGGAAGGCAGGCAGGGCTGTAAAACAGCATTGATGCTCTGATTCACCTCTTTTCACTAGCAGCAAGCATGCAGATTTCTCAGGAAATAATATTTCCTCCTCTTGAATGTGCCTCCTTTGGGTTTGACCCCTGTTGTTTTTGTTTAGGTGTTTTTTTGGGTTTTTTTGTGATGTTGTTTTGTTTTTTTTTTTAAAGGAGCAGGCACTCTGCACACTCATGAAGTTTGTAGAATTGGAGGCACAGTATCCATTGATCAAAATAGAGTGGAAGGGAACTTTAACTTTTCCATGTGACCTTCTCAAGGTAAGCTGCAGACCTGAAAAGTCCCTCCTGCCGGTGACCTGATGGCACAGGAACTCATGTGCCCAGTGCTGTGAGAGACTGACTTGCTGCTTTCCTTCCCAAACCCCTTGTTAGGTGGTTGTTGATGGTTTGCTTCCCACCACCGAGGACGCCTCCCTGCTGATCTCCCGCTTTCAGGAGTACCTGGAGTATGATGATGTTCGCTACTTTGTCATGAAGGCTGTCACTGCCAGCATCGGGCAGGTCATGCAAAAGACAAAGGAGGTAACAAATTGTTACTGCTCGGGTTGCTCTGGATGAGCTGCTCTGGGTTGTGAATCTTGTGTGTGAAGCAGGGAGGAGTTAGTAGCATATGGAAATATTTGGAGGCTAGAGAAATGAGTGTGACCACTGGAGGCATTGATTTTTTTTCTCACGTGTGAGACATGAGAAAAATACTCTTGTGTGTCAGTATGCCAAGACTGGCTTTACTCAAGACACATACTGTTCTTTCTGGTCTAAGCTCTAGCTTCTGTTTTACCCAAATCTTCACAGCTTGGGTGACACACAGAGAACTTTTAATTCTGTGTGCTCTACTGCAGAGGAAGAACCTGTTTCCTTCATTGGCTCCACCAGTTTTGTTGAGCCAGAATAAGTGCAGAGATAGGTTTCTGATCTGTAACAGAGAATATACCAGTGTGTAGTTTATTTATGTAGTTTTTAGTCATCATTTTCCCTTTCTTTTTCCTAAATATATTCAGTACTTGGAAACAGAGCAATATTGAAGCCCAGCATCTTGTTATCTGATGTGGAACTTGCTTCATGTTTGTTTTTTCCTTTTTTCCTCAGAGGCCGCTGCCTTTTTACCAGCAGAATGTGTTTTCCCTCATCTCACCCATTAACATGCCAAACAAAGAGTCTGAGATGGTGAAATTTATGGTCAAGCAAGGTTAGTGAACTCTGCATGATAAACTGTGTGTGAAAAGGAAAATCAGGTTAAGATTTCTAGTGTGTAAAGACTTTATTATTGTTTGCTGATGAAGAATTTCTGCTTCTTTGATCACTGCCATTCTAAACAGTCTTAAAAATCCACATCCCTCAGTCTACAGGGGTGCCTGTTATGGCCTTGTATCAAATTAGGTACTTCAGCCCAAGTTTTTAGAGCATCAAAAGGCTAAGTTTAAAAAGGTTCATCTTAATTTTTTGAATATCCAGTTCAAGTTCAACATCTGGTTTCTCTTTCTTCTTAGATAACCGTGAGGAGTTGAAATTTTCAAAGCTGCAGGTAACTGTTCATTTGGTGCATTAGAATTGAAATTTTGTCTGCTTAAAATAGAGCATTATCTGTAGCAGTGTGTATTAGAATTGAAATTTTGTCTGCTTAAAATAGAGCATTATCTGTAGCAGTGTGTTTAACTCACTGTTTGCAATTCTGTTTTAAGGCACACAGGCAGGTGTTTGAAAAAATGTGGCTGACTTTTTTGAAGCACAAGGTGAGTGTTACTTCTGCCTCTGATCTGCATTGCTCTTTAATTTAAGGATTGCTGATCCTTAGCAGTTGTGTTCAGCTTTGTAGGCAGCTGCTGGTGGGACCCCAGGATGTTTTGAGTGTTGGGTGGGAGCAGCCCAGTGAGCATTTCTGTGGGATCACACAGCCAAAAAACACGACCTCATATATGGCCTGCTTTTTCTCCTTACTCTTTGCCTTTTTTCCCTGCCTTAAACATCTCTGCCCGTAAGGGTGATCTGCAGCATAACAATCTCTGCTCACAAGCTGAAGCTTCCCCAGCCTTTTTCCTGGTGGTTTTCCCCACATGAGTGATGACACTGTTAGCTGTGAGCACCTGCTTCTTGAATGAACTTCCTTGGTGTCACCTGTAAACTCTCCCATTTGGGAACTGCTGCTGCAAGCTGTTCTCTATTTTCCTGTCACATTCCCTTCTGCTTATGCATTGCCTTTTTGAGCCACAGGTTGCTGCTGCTGACCGAGTTCTCCCTGCAGTGCTTGTTTCTCTGTTGTTTTCTCCTTCACAGCTGCCCCCTGGCCTTTACAAAAAGGTTCTTGTCATTCTGCACGACTCTGTCCTGCCTTACATGAACGAGCCCACTCTCATGATGGATTTCTTGACAGTGGCCTATGGCATAGGTGAGTGAGAACAGCATTTTATCCTCTGTGGCACCTCCAGCATGGCACAGATGGACTTGGAAGCTCTGCTGGATGCAGCACCACACCCTGGGTGATGGAATATGTGTACTTTTGGCTTGGATGGAGCTAAGGAACTAGGGTCAACTCCATTGTCCCTGAAAGTGAGATGATTTTACCTGTGTTTGTCAATGTCGTTGCTCCTTGTGTGTAAGGAAAATAATATTTAAGGCTGTGGGGAAGAGTAGAATGCTGGAGTGATTAGTTTTAAATATAGAGTTCAGCCAGTGCTGCTGATCCAAACACAGGATCCACAGATTGCTGCAGAAATGTCCTTTCTGAGCAGACCTTTGCCTCCCCAGTGTGACTTTGTTGAGGAATTAGAGCAGCACATTTTGTGTCTCAGCTGTTAAACATTTGTCTTCTAAACTACAGCTTAATCTTTGTAAGAAACTTGGGAGTCTGGAGGGGTGCAGATGAAATTGTTTCACCTTTCAGCCACCACACTGGCTCAGATTTCAGCTATTCAGTTTTGCTTTCCTTCTGGGAAGATGGTATTATAGAAAAAACTTGAAGATTATTTTTTTCTAGGTATTTTTATTGATATCTGCCTGTTTTCTTACAGGTGGAGCAATCAGTCTTCTAGCCCTAAATGGGTTGTTTATTTTGATTCATCAGCATAATCTGTAAGTAAAAAGAGTATATTGTTTAAAGGAACGTGGGTTTTTGCATTTATGTTTTTATATAAGAGAAACTGAAATGGATTCACCACACCTTCAGGCTTTGAAATTCTCCCATGAGAAAGCCAAACTGCACAAGAGGCTCAGGCTGCTTGGATGCTGAGATTTTTTGGCTGCCTGATTTCTTTTACAACTGAACCTAAATAGTCTGTTCTCTAGGCTATGGTTGCTCAGCACTTAAAAATCAATTTCCATTGATCTGATTACAGACTGAAGCCATGATCTTTGGTGTCCCTTTCACTGCATCCTCTACCATTTGCAGTCACTGGTCATGGCTTCACACCCTGAAGGTGGCTGGGCACTGCAAGAGCCATAAATTCACCTTGCAGTTTGTTTTCAGGTGGTGACTGTAGAGGGAAGCCTAGGAGAGCTAAACAGAGCCCAGCAGTGGGCTGGGGTGCTCTTAATGAAAGCACAATAATATTTAGACACAGCCCCACTGTACATCTCTAATGGAATTTGTATTTTTCCTTTTATTCAACAGGGAGTACCCTGACTTTTACAAGAAGCTGTACAGCCTGTTAGACCCTTCCATCTATCACGTGAAGTACCGAGCTCGCTTTTTCCACCTGACTGATCTCTTTTTGTCTTCATCGTAAGCAGCATCTTTATTATGTGTGCTCACATATTTTCCTCCTGCTTTTCTGTTCTTTAGCAGTCTCCCACACGTCTGGATTTAACGTATTCAGTGTTCCTGCTGGATTAGATACATTTTGTATGGAGAAAACTGAATCTGAGACTATTATTGTAGTCTTGTGTAATTTTTCATGTGCTATTTTTGAAGATTTGCCTCACAGCCATAGATTTTCAGAAAGGAAGAATTGCAGTTAGTTATCAGAGTTTGAGCTGCAAGTGCTTATGGATGTGTTTTTGATCTCTGTTCCACTTTGGGTGAAAGTGATGAATTTTCTGTCTTGTCTTTGTAAAAATGGAAAAGTAAAATTTGCTGGGTTTTTATAGATTACAAAGCTGTTGATAAATGGATGGCTTTTTGCAGACATAAAGCTCTGAAATGTGAAGTGTTTGACAGCCTGTCTTGATGTTGTCAGTTCATTGCACACAGGAAAGAAGCTGGATAGGCAGCTGGTCATATAGTTGCTGTCATATGTTATAAAATAAACCAACAGCAGCACAGCACCAGGCACTTCATATCCAACCCCCTTGTAGTCCTGGTGTACTTTGGAGGGAGTGACAAGACCTGTGGGTAACTTTGTTGAGCCTTGCAGGTGTAGTGAGGCCTGAGTGACTGAAAATTGTCATTTTCATCTTCTGATGTGAAGAAGGGGCCTAAATGTTGTGGTTGCTGTTAGAAATTTGCATTTTTACCATTAAAAAAAATAATTATGCTGCACATTTACACTACATGGGAGCTTTATGTTCCCATTAACAGCTGCAGTGCTTGGAAATGTTATGTAAATTTAACACCATGGTCTGTGTATTAATTAAACCCACAAAATGACATAAGAAGAATATAATTAAGGTTCCCTGGCCAAGCACTCAGTTTATGAAAGGACTGAATAAGGTTTGCTGTGAGAATGTCTATGTACAGGGGCTATGGTGCCATGTGTCAGGATTGACTCTCACAGTGATCTGAGATTATTCATGCACTGAATGTAAATTCCCCCAAAATTTGTTCCAGCTAGTGCACAACACATTGCTGCTTAAACTTGAGATTCCTTGTCACTGTGATATTCTCTGAAAAATCCTCTTTGCCCAGGATTCTTCTCCTGGGAAGATGAGAACCCTCAGCTTCTCCACGTTTTGCTGCTCTGGAATGTGGCCTGGAGATTGTTCATCCAAACATGTGAATTGTTTTTAATTAATGACCAATCACAGCCAGCTGTGTCAGACTCTGAGTCAGTCATGGATTTTAATTGTTCATTCTTGTTAAGCCTTCTGAGGATCCTTTCTCTTTCTTTAGTGTAGTTTTAGTATAGCATAATATAATATAATATGATATGATAGAATATAATATGATATAATATAGTATAGTATAGTGTAATGTAATAAAATATGATATTATGTAGTATAGTGTAATGTAATATAATATGATATAATATAGTATAGTGTAATATGATATAATATAGTGTAGTATAATATAGTATAGTATAATATAGTATAATATAGTATAATATCATATAGTATGGTAGAATATCATATGGTATAATATGGTATAATATATAGTATGGTATAATATAGTATAATATGGTATAATACAGTGTAGTATAATATAATATGGTATAATATAGTATAGTATAATATAGTGTATTAATAAATCAGCCTTCTGAGAACTTGGAGTCACGTTCTCATCTCTCACCTCATGCTGGGGACCCTCACAAACACCACAATTCCTAAAGCTTCTCTTTACTCCACAGCCAGAACAGCCTGACGAGCCCCCTGCCGTGCTGTTGGGGTGGCTGAGGCTGCTGGCTGTCCTGCCAGGGCTCTAACAGGCTGTCCCCTGTCCCCAGGCACCTGCCAGCCTACCTGGTGGCAGCGTTCATCAAGCGGCTGGCGCGGCTGGCGCTCACGGCTCCTCCCGAGGCTCTGCTCATGATCCTCCCCTTCATCTGCAACCTGTTCCGCAGGCACCCCGCCTGCAAGGTGCTGCTGCACAGGCCAGCAGGGCCAGCAGGTAAGGAGGGGCTTGTTTTATGCCTCTAAGGCAGCATAAAGAGGAGCATTGCTGTGGAGGAAAGGGGAGATTGCAGTTCTGAGGTTTGGAAGGATGCCTTTGTCCTGTCCCTTGGGTTTGTGGAAGGTCAGCAGGCTCCTGCTGTTAAACTCAAAGCTGTTCCAAGTGCCCTACTTGCTCTGCTCTTTAAAAGTAACATGGTTCTGTAATGCTGCCAGCAGTGACTCTTGGGTCATGCTGGGATTTGTCAGTTTGTCCCTGGAACCATAAATGACTTGGGAAGGAGCAGCTCTGGCTGCAGCACTGCTCAGAGGCTGTGTTCCCTGTGGGTTTATGTACATCACACGGGGTGTTAGCTGTGTATCTCCTGTTTCCTTAGATATGTCAGAAGATCCATATGTCATGGAGGAGAAAGAGCCATCTGAAAGCAAGGCTTTGCAGAGCTCTCTGTGGGAGATTCAGGTATGTCATCCCAAAATGAGCATCTGCTCTGGTATGGGTCTCTTCCACCCTTGCTGCTTCCTTGACATGTGTTGGCAGTGGACAGACCCTCTCACAAGGACCTGCTTGACATTTATCTTGCAAATGAGATGAGTTCTTTTACTCTGCATCATTTTCTATCCTAGCGAAGGATTCCATACACTGGAGAGATGTATGTGCTAATTAGTGGGTGGCTTGTGAGCTCACATTTGAATTTGCAGTTCACAGCTGACACAGACTAAACAGCTGCAAATGGACCAGGCTCTGGAGGGGAGAGAGGAACTTGGTGAGCACTGATGGAAGTGAATTGAGTAGAGCCTGGTTATCCTCTAGAAATGGATGAGGGGTTTGTGTAGGAGGCTGAAGCTAGAGTGATGTGCTGGAATCCTGGAGAGCTGGAGCTTGGGCGTGGTGTGAAGGCACTGTGAGGTGGCAGAATTGGGTTATGCAGTGCAGGCATGGCCTATAGATGAATTTATCTTGAGCTGGATGTGATCATGTGAGAGGAGCCTTTGACATGTTTGGAAGGTGCCTGAAATGAGGATTTCTTGAAGCTCTGTAGTAGCATGGTGCAGCAAACTTGGATCTGATGGAATTTGATGGTCACTGGAGATCTGACCAACAAATGGGCAGACTCTGGCAGTGCAGATGGGTGTGTGTTACCCTGTACTTTTAGATAATCTCCCATTTATTTTGCTTTTCCAGTCTCTCCAGAACCATTATCACCCAGATGTGGCCAAGGCAGCTGCTGTCCTGAACCAATCCCTGTCTGAAATGGAGGATGACATATCAGGGCTCCTGGAGCTCTCAACTGCTGAGGTGATGCTGCTGTGCCTTTGTGAATGACTGGAACCAGGGGAAAGGAGGTTCTGGATGCAGCAGCCATGTCCTGTTATCTGCCTTGCTCTGGGGAGGGAGCTACACTGACTTGGTTACCAGGGCAAACCAGGAAAATGGTCTGTTAAATAACAGCATGAGCAACAGTGGTGACAGGGCTGGCTTTTTTCTTTGAAGTGTTTATTTGCTGGATGTTTTAAGACTTTAGAGTGTGCAGTGTTATTGGGGTGAAGAGCCTGTGCTGAATTTTGACAATATTTTCTGGTTTTTATTTTGTAGCTTTTTGATAGAGAAGTAAAGAAAAAGGCTGTTGATGTGCCCCTGGAGTTTGAGCCTGTACGAGGTTTGTTTGGGAAGAAGAATGATATTTTTGCAGAGCACTTCAGTTTAGACTGATGCCATCTCTTACCAAAACACATCTGTCAGCAGCCGGATCTTAGGGACACACAGAAAGCTCCCATGTGCTCTGCAGCCCTTCCTTGTGAGGAGAGCTGCACTGCCTGAGCTGCAGCCTTCTTCCTGCTCCTGGATGGACTTTGCTGGTTTCTCAGACTTGCATTCTGCCACCTGGTATTTGGGAGGGATTTCTCCTCAGAGCAAGGATTTCTGGACTTGTTCACGGCTGGGATCCCAGTCCTTCCCCCAGAGCTGCTGGGGCTGGCTGTGACCAGGAGCTGCATCAACAGACACCTCACTGCTGTTCCATGGGACTGAGGGGAATTGCATTCTCTGACTGCTCTTATTTTTCAGATGTTTTACTTTTATATGAGAGCTGACAGCCTGTTTGTAATAAATGTCTTCAATACATAAATGTAAACACCTGATATATTATAATTATATTTTTATATGCATTTTTAAGCTCATCTTGAGAGGGATGTTTATATTCCTTGTACTCAGCACTCCCACGTTCAAGGCATTGAAACTGGTTTGTCTGACAGCTCAGAAGGTGCTCAGTAAATCCATCTAGGAAATGTTGCTGGTGTTCCTTCCTCTACATCCATCTCATGCACTGAGGTTGCTGGATTCCAAATGCTCACGAGCTTTGGAAGTGAACATAATCCTGGTGCCTGCTGTAGCAGGGAGGCCAGCTGATGTGCAGTGGGAGGCTAATCCTTGAGTTTTGCTTCAGAATGATAAGCAGCTTGCTGTGGTTTTGCTTGCAGCATGTGTTTTAGGAGCTCTGGCCAGAGTGTATCCAGGGGCTAATAACTTTTTAACTCCACTGCTACTGGATGCTTTTGTTAATTTTTCATATACTCCCAGAAGTCATGCACAAATTCCATTTGATGGGGTTTCCCCCAAGGTTTTAAGTTTGAGATAAACTCACAGCACAGATGAACTCAGGACTTTTTTAAAACTCATTTTAAACAACTTAATGTTACCTCCTTAGATTTAAACTCTGCTTGCATAATTTGAAATCATATTTTGTGGAAGAGTGAATTACAATCAAGAAAGCAGAGGCCAAAAAATCCAATTTCTGGCAGCCAAGTCTGGTTAAGTCAAGGAAAACTGCAGCTGTCTTGGAGACACTGAAGTGTTACACTTTCTTCATCCAGTTTTTTCGTGCTTTCCAAACAGTGGACGTGTCCTCACAGTGTAGAGCTCTACATCTTTTTTTTTTTTCCTTTCTGATGCTTTTGAATTCAGATGGGGTGTTTCTGAGGATTGATATTTCTCCTCTTTTTCTTTGGAAGTCTCTTTCTTTGTTCTGTGGTGAAAGGGCAATGCCTCCTCCCTGGCCAGCCTGCTTTTCTTCTTTCTTTGACTTGTGGTATCTGAGGTGGGAAGGCAGAATGGTTGAGATGTAACTTTCAACTTGAGATGCCTCAGTTCAGGTTCACCCAAGCCTTGTATTTCATCTCTAAGATGTATCTCCCTTTGTCATGGGGTTTTTTGTCTGTCTATGTTTGGTAAACATCTTGAGGTGCTCTGCTGTAGCAATGAGAACCACATGGCTCACTTTGAAAGAGGGCAGTGTATCATCTCAGATGGAATTAATGACTATATTTGAAAGGATGAATGTCTGTGTTGAATGACTTTCTGTGATAGTTTTATTCAGGTTATAGCTGAATTATATCTGTGTAATTACTGGTGAGCAGTGTCATTCACTTCTGTGATAATATTGACACTCAGGAGTGTTGGGCTCTTTTTGAAAGCACAAATATTAAACCACATGGGCAATGGGGCAGATCCACATTTCAAAGTGCTGAAAATGAGGGAGTTTGGCTGTGTTCTTCTGCATGGACAGAGGATAAACATTATCCTCAATGCTGTGTGACCTGTGTGCCTGTCTGTCCTTCTGGGCTCTCCTGGCACCAACAGGGACACCCTGCACAAGGGGCAGATGGATTTGGTGAGGGATGTTGGAAAGCAGCAGCTCCTGCCTTGTGGTGTGGCCCTCTGCTGCCTTGTGTTTGAGACCAAATGGCCACAGCCTAAAGCATTTTCCAAGCACCAGGGAAAGGGATGCCATGGAAAGGAAATGGAAAAAAGGAAATGGAAATCCCTGTGTTTTCCAGGAGGAGGACTGCAAAGGCACCAGCATGTCCAGTGTTCCACCAGCTGTGGATGCCACCCTGCAGTGAGCAGTGCCTGCACTGGAGCAGGATGCAATTCATGTTTTCCAGGGCACTCCCAGTGTGCTGGGAGTGTGTGGTTCCTGTGTGCTGCCCGTGGCAGCTCCTGCTGGCACTGAGGCAGAGGCTCAGGCTGACACAGGGTGCTTCCAGATTCCTCAACACATTTCAGTGCTGAGCAGGAAATGCTGTTAGTGCTGTACTTGAAGTATCTGCAGCTGACCTGGAGTGACTTAATTATTTTGTGATGATGCCTGGCAGCCCCAGCACAGTCCCACTGTGCTTGGTGCAGGCAATCAAACCACAGACAGCTCAGAGGAGCTTACAGCTGAAAGCCTGGGTGCACTTCAGACAAGCCTTGAAGGTCTTCCTCAAACTCCCCCAGCTCTGATGCTGCTCTTACCTGAGCTGCATTTTTAAACCAGCTCTTAGGTGCAGATAGCTTTAAGCCCCTCCCTGTCCTTGGAAAAAACATTCCACCTGGTCTTTCATCAAGGTTTTATCTTTCAACTTTCACCCCTTTCCCCTCAAATAGGAGGCATCTAGGAAAAAAATCAGCAGTTATAAATATTGAAAGTTTCATCTGCACAGAGTGAGCAAGCCTTATCAGGCTGCACACCTGCTGCTGCTGCTGCTCTCCAGGTCTGCACGGACTGTAGATTATAGATGCTGTAATCATGGGGTGTATTAACTGGAAGGCCAGATTGAAGTACCAGGCAGCTAGTGCATAAGTCACTCCTGTTATTATTTGGTTTTTATCAGATGTGGGGAGGGGGGAGAGGGCTGTTCTGGGGGTTTTTGTTATTGTTGGGCTATTTCAATGAGCATAAAACATAGTTTTATGAAAACATTGACGTAACCCTGCAGCTTCCCCACCCATCACTGCCCTGGTCCCCCACCAGAGGGTAACAATGAGGTCTCTGACTCAATGGACTGCCCTTGGTTAATTTTCCTGAGCTTCCATTCAAAGGCATCCCAGCCTGGCTGCAAAATAGAGCTGCTCAGCAAGAGCATGATGTGATTTATCTGGGGAGTCAAAGGTTGAGGTGGCCACAATGTTTGTGTTAATCAGCTTAGATTCTTACTTTTAGGATATTCATTGGGAGATAGAGGGAAGTGCAAATTTGCATCTGTAAATGAGTGCTGCTATTAGCATTAAGGTGGTTTCATATCCCTGAGATAGTGAGCTACAGTGCAGCCATAACCCCTGTGTTTTCCTCTACCTAATTTTGAAAAACAAGCTCTCAATTAATTTACAGCCTTGCTCAGGCAAAAAGGGCTACAGGATCTCAGTTCCACTGACACTAGCTTTTTCCAGCACTATCATAATCAATATTCATTAACTGAAGCCTATTGGACTTGGAGATTTACTGCTATTAATAAGCCAAGAGTCTATCTTTGTGTAGTTTATGAAGAAAGTTTGAGACCTGTTACTAAAAAGAATTGCTTTCCTGCAGTTTCTTTGCCCTGTCCCTGGGCCATACTTGCACCTCTAAAAAGAGAGTTCTGGAGCATGTGAGTAGAGCCAAAAGAGATAAAATCAGAGTGAAACTGCCTTCCTCTTGCAGAGGAATAAACCCCAGCAGACAGGATGCTCTGCTTGATGGTGCATGCAGAGATGTGAACGTCATCTCTGTCCTAACAGAGTGAAGAGCTGCAGACTCCGTGTCCTGCTGGTTATCCCCATTTTGTTGATAAATGCACAGAGTGAACCTTATCAAAAGGAGCAGGCTGCAGGCCTGCTAATGGAGCTGTGCTCGTGCTGAAGATAATTGATGCCTCAATAACACCACACGTTATCCAGAGAGCGGCTGGAGCGCTCTGTGAGCAGGAGCATCCATCACAGCTGCTCCTGTAACTTTTATCAAATACTGAGGTGGGTGGCAAGGTGCATTCTTGGGCTGCTCTTGAGGGAAGAGCGTTGGGCTCGGAGATACAAAACAAATGAATCATCACATCCCTTTTCCTACATCAGTTTCCTGCACGCTGGGAGTGTGAGGATTTACATTTCAGTCATTTTGGCTGGGGATGGCAGATCCCAGGTGCTGTGGTGCTGGAAACTGAGGTTTGATGGCCGGGAGCTGCAGTTTCCAAGAGGGAGACAGCCCAGTGTGACAGCAGCAGTGTCCCTGCAGGGGTGGCAGTGCCACCTCACAGGGAAGGGAAGGTTCCGGGAAGGGAAGGGAAGGTTCCGGGAAGGGAAGGGAAGGTGGCCGCTAGAGGACGGTGCAGACCGGGCGGCGGGGCCCGCTGCGCTGCGCGGGGCTCTGCCCGTGCTGAGGCTGCTCCCCCACACCCGAACCGATCCCTTCTGCAGCTCCCGGGCCGTGCAGGGGCCCCCGGGCCGGGCATCGCCCTCGGGGCTGGGTGTGTGACTCTGTCCCCTCGCTGGGGCTGGCTCAGGGTGTCCCAGCCGGTGCTGCGGAGTGCGGGCAGGAGATGAGCACATCTTTTTTGGGGATGGGGACACCCCTTTTGGGCTAGCACACCTGTTTTTTGGGACGAGCACACTCTTTTTGGGATGAGCATACCCTCTTTGGGATAAGTACACCGTTTTTGGGATGAGCACACCTTTTTGGGATGAGCACACCCTTTTTGGGATGAGCACACCTGACAGTGAACAGTGCTGGCTGGCACTGCTCTGCTGGGGGAACAGCCTTCCCTGCCTCTTCCCAAATAGCCTCATGTGGCCTTTCATCCTTTAACCATGTCCTAAAAACGTTCAGTCCCAGTTTAGGAAAATAAATTCTGTTTCAGGGTAGCATTTAGATATTTATATGCTTTGAGTATCTTGGCAGATGAAATGTAAATTTGTGCTTTAGAGCACTTGACTGCCTTTAGAGCTCCCCTGGTTTCCTTCCTGAGGAGTGGGTCTGCAAAGCACCTGCCAGGGAATGTCTGAGCAGCACCCTGA